CACAAGCACCCGTGAACAATATTTTTTGAAATTCGAAAATACTCTTTGTTTTCTTACAGGATTTCAAGAAACTGCGATGAACACTTGTGGTAAGAAAACGGTGGTCTCCCCCCCGTTACTTTTCACGGGAAAAAGTAAAACTGGGAAAATCCAAAATGGAAACCCGTCGAAATCGCCGGTGTCCTCGTTAACGGGCCCGCCCCCCCCTTGCGCGAAACCCGTCAACACTCTCGAGCCGAGTTGGGGGCCCACCCGCTGGGGCCCAACTCGAGCGACGCCGACGTCATCCCCCGGCCCTGACGCCGTCATCCGAATATTCGATCCCCGTCCAGAGGCCAACGCGCATCTCCGACGGAGATTCCCTAACGGCCGTCGAACGCGACGATGAATAATGAATTGACCGGTGCCCCCCCGACTCCCCTTCGCCCTTTCAAATTTTTTTGAATGCGAACCGAATTTTGCCTTTGCCTTCCCCTGTTATATCATTGGTTAATGGTTATCGCTTTTTTGAAAGTGCTCCCGTAGGACCCCATTTGTTCTACGCATGAAAATGATCGATAAAATAAATTTGTTTCCGTCGCGATTCGAAATATTAATCCAGATTTTACGAAATTAAGAGATGCGTTATGTGCGAACTTGAATCGATATTTGAATATTGTGAACGTTTTCGGAAGTTTTGGATATTAAGAAAAAAAACAAAATGTGTGGGTTTAAAGATTTTTAAGTTAAGCACTGTCTGCTTGAACGTCTACCATGAATAGAGAACGAACGGGAGAATACAAAAGTTAGAAACCCATTTATTGAGGAGGAGTAGATGGACTTGATTAAAATAGTTGCGAAAGTATGAGTATGGGAAATGAACTTTACTGAAAAATACTTTTCGAGGACAAATTTTCTTATTAACTTTCAAGGATAATGACAAATTTTCTTATTTTTTATTGCATTCTGCAATGGAAGTTTGTGTTTCTAATACTTTTTATTTTTATTTTATAGAAAATTACGAGATACCTCATGTAAAACTCCAGATCACGAATTCAAGCGCTAGGTTCGCCCGCCGAGGCGCGAGGGCGGCCGCTTCGACTTCCAGCGAGGGCGCGGCTACTCGGCCGAGGGCCCTGCCCGCTTCCGTAGCGCCGGAGGGCCTGAAGTGACCTCGGAGGCAAGGTTGAAGTGAAAAAAAAAAAATTCAAAAAAAAAAATAATATTAAAAAATTAGTTTGGGTAAAATTGTCACATGCTACGCAGTTGGGGTTTTTTGAGTATGTTCGGGTAAAATTGTCACTGTGTACCGAGTTTGGGGTTTTTATGGTAAAAAATAGTTTGGGGTAAATGTGTCACAAGTGTACAGGCTTAGGGTTTTTCGTGGTATTAACCCTATTTTTAATTGCATTCCGCAATGGAAGTTTGTGTTTCTAATACTTTTTATTTTTATTTTATAGAAAATTACGAGATACCTCGTGTAAAACTCCAGATCACGAATTCGAGCGCTAGGTTCGCGAGCCCAGACTCAAGGAACCCAGACTCGTCCTCGACGAGAGCTCAATCGCTGAGGTCCCGAGCCCATTCAAAGGGGATAGGGGCTTGACTGCTAAGGTCTCAGGTGCGGGTGCTAAGGTCCTGAGCTCGACTGTCGAGGACCCGAGCAATGACGCGAGTCCCAATCTCAAATTTTTTTTTTTTTTTTTTAAATTTAAGCATGTATCTTTTATTGACTATCAAAACTTTTTCAATTTACTCGATTTTCTAAGCGATTTAGAAGTCGGAAAACGACAGAAATATTTTCCCAAGGCTAATGAGAACACGATCCGACGTGGCAGAGGGTGGCCCACGGATGCTCCCGTGGACGAGCCGGGGGGAATAAAGAAGAAGGCGCTGGACATGCTTATCGGGAAAACTGCCCACGACGCGAGGGGGCTGCGGGACTGTCTCCGCAGTGCGAAATGACGTATCTGCCCCCAATACACATCAGCGTTATCACGTAAAAGAGCACACCGTTATTGACTTTGCACTGCTCCTTCTTAGAAGTAGGCGTACGTACCAAGTGGTAACTCCCGCTCGATTTCTATTTTATTTTATTTGATAGAGAGTATAGTTATAATTCACAGAGTCGATTGACCTCTTTCTATGCTTTGGCGATCCAGTTCTTATTGGGAGTCGAGCTTTAGTTAGGCCAAAAATAGGGACTATTAACCTATATAGATCGATAAATTAAGGCGAACCAAAAATGAACAACTGTATATCGTGCCTGGTTAGTTAAAAAAAAACAGTCCGTGAATCATAGATTCTTGGCCTTATTGTAACATGTTCTCATCAATCCGATTTGGTACGATTTTATCGAGATTCATCTCACGGTGCCTCTAATTCAATAAGTAATTATAATTAGAGTCTTCCAATTCGGCTTGATGAATTGATTTTCTAACCGAAATATTCGAAAGTAACTTCCTTCTATGTATCTTTTGACGCGATTACGATATACCGGAATTGGAAAGAAAGCCAAAACTTTTGCCCTCTTTCGACCTTGCTTTTTTTTTTTTTTGGAATGAGGCGTGACATGATAAGGCTAATTTCTCCAATATTAGGTCCTCTCCCATATCTAGCCATTTAAGGTAAAGAATCCATTTCGATGTTTAGCGCGATTTTGGGGTAAAGAATCCATTTAATACTTCCCGTCGATTATACACAAATTTTCCCATTCATGCGAAGAAGAGAGGACGATTTGCCCTTTTCCTTCCCTTCACGACAATGGCAACCAACACATTAACCCAACTCGGACATGCACGGTCTCGCCATAACCCACAAGCAAATAGCAAGAGGCCACTTGGGCACCCTTTCGAAATCGCAGGTATCCCCAGTTAAGGAAAATCCAATAAATTATTTACAAACAAATACACAAATTCCTCGACATAAAGAAAAAAAAAAAAGGAGAAGAAGAGAGAAAAAAACGAAAGGAGGAGGAGGAGGAGGAGGAGCTCCTCCTGCACGAGTAGTGGGACTCAACGTATTTCTCGATGGCGCTGACCACACCCAGCCACATGATCCCAAATCCCCACCACGCCACGCGTCGCGCCCCCCGGGATCGCACCACGGCGCCGACGATGATGCTGATGATGAGCTCGCGCTCGGGGTGGGAGGGTGGGAGTGAAGACCAGGTCGCCGAGTGGCTTCCCCCCAGCCACCTGCTGTAGCCGGTGACCCGGGGCCCGCGGCTACCGATATGACCGGTAAATAACTGGTTCCTTTCGGGGGGTGGGACGGGACGGTATGGTATGATATAAACCATGTAAAAGGAAAAGAGGGGGAGAAAAAGGTTGGTGTGCTGCTGCCGGGGGTTTAAGCGCTTTGGTTGGGCGGTGGTTTCTCCGGAAGGGTTTTTGGCGATCAGACCAGAAGACAGAGAGAGAGAGAGAGGAATTTTCTCGCGCGCACAGGGAAAGCGAAGGCCAAACGCATTTTCTCGGGAAAATAACATGGGCTGAGGAGGGGGAATTCGGAATGCCGGGAAACCTGGTGGGCTCGCCGGTACGTGTGGCGTCGTCGAGGGGGCTCGCTCGCTCGCTCGCTCGCTTAGATTGCTTCGCCTGGATTCTGCGGGTCGTCCGTTTCTTTTGCTCTTGTGGGATTCTCTCTCTCTCTCTCTCTCTCTCTCCGTGCGCGCTCTGATTCGATCTTCCGGCTGCGAATTGCGGGGGGAAATCTGTGGGGGACGCGCGCGAGGGAGCGAAGCATTGTCGAGAGGGCGAACCCCCAGATCACGCCTCGCCCGGGCTTCGTCCTGCGGAGATTTGTTGAATTCCCCGGGTTTGGGTTCTTCTTGCTTTTTCGGCCGTGGTTTTTGTGTGGTTTTTGTCTTGGGTGGATCTCGACTTCGGACGAGGAAAGTCGCGGTCGCGCGGGCCTGAGGCTTCGGCGAGTTTCGATTGCGATCTGGGAAGGTTCCTGCAGTTCCAAGCTTGCATTTTTCGGGCGCTGAAAAATGTTCGGAATTTTCTCAGCTGGTCTTCCGTCTTCTGAATGTTTCGGTTTCGGCGACGGTTTTCGATCGTCGTGCTGATCATCGAATGCTTTCTCGACGTTTGGGCCCCGATCGCTGCGATCCGATGATCTTCGTCGGGACGCGATACGGTCGAGACCCGGTTTCTTCCGCCTCTCTCTGTTCCTGAAATCGTTTTGGAGCTCGAACTTTTTTCAAAAAATTGATGCTTGAAGAGGGTTTCCGATCTCTTTGATTCCACCTTGCGTCAAAATTTTGAGCGCCTCTCGGATCCGCTGGAGATCTAGTTTGGGTGATTCCTTGCTCTGCATGAGGGTTTTGTGATGGGTTTAAGCGGTTTTCTTTCCCCCTCTCTTCGCACCTTCCACCAAATTGGAAATTAATCGCGATTGCGCTTTTCCATTCGCGAGTTTCGGGTGGACATTTTTCTGACTGTCCATCGATATTTTTTCTTTGATATTACCTCATGCCAGTCGTCAAAGCCCAATCTTTTTCTCACTTTTCCGCAGTTTGCATATCCCTTAGAGTTTTCCCAAATTTATGTGTTTTTCGAGTCTCTTGCTCCGCTGGATCTGCGAACTTCTGGACTTTGAACTATTGTCATGGATAAATGTTTCAAATTTCGTTAAATTGTGCATTAATCGTGGGAAATTTGGATCATAATGGCTGGAATGGGTTTATTTATTTTGTTTTTAGACTTCTTGACAACTATCCTAAGCAGTGACGTTGTTCTAAGTTTTAGTTGGGGAGAGCAATATCGTCAATGAAAACTGCTTCCTAATTGGAATTTCCACCAAATGTGATTTCGCGAATTGATTTTTTACTGTTTAAATGTAATGTCTTGTGATCATTGTGACACAAAAGATTGGGGTGGTACTCTGTGTGCGTGCGCGTGTGCATTTTCATGATAATTGCGAGTTAATCAAGCAAGTTCTTATCTTTGGATAGATTTTATGTAGCAGATTATTTGTTTGAGTTAATCAAGCAAGTTCTTATCTTTGGATAGATTTTATGTAGCAGATTATTTGTTTCTATCTTGGATCAGAATGTCTTGCTTTCCGTGTAGTTTAATGCTGCAAATTTCTATGCTTTTTCAGGTTCTGATTTGGTGTCTCGAGCATTGAGCGATTGCTGAATTTTAAGATGGATTGAAGAGAGTTCGTTCCCTGTTTCTGGTTGATCTTATATAGTATGATTTCTGCGATATGGTGCTGAATAGGAGGTTAGAATATGGATTCAATGGCTATCAGGTGCCTACCATGCCTCGGGGCGCCAGATCTGCTAGAGTAAGCTCATTTTGAGTTTCCAGTTGGTACTTCTAGAATTTGTATCCCTCTCCCACCGTCATTCTCGGTTACTGATCTCCGTTGTTGATCTTTTATTCTCTTAGAGGAGAAATTCGATCAAGAAGAATGTTGAAGACAACAAAATGCATGCATTTGACTTACTGGCCACCTTAGCTGGGAAGCTGCTGGTCGGGAACAGTAGTTCTTCATCTTCAAGTAATTCGTCGACTAAGAAGGATCAGTTTCCAGTCACTGACAGCACTGGCATAGAAGAAGGGTGTCAGAATCAGTGTAAACAGTTGGAACTGCAACTTTGTGATCAAGGAAGCTGTGGTAGGAGCATGTTAGATTCCCAGCTTGTATCCCAAAAGCATCATGATCCAAAGCTTATTCAGGAAGATACTCAACATCCTGTCGTGCAATGTACTGACTGCTCAGAGAGGCTGGGAACCGATGAGCTGGGAATTGACAAAAGAAATGAAGAAACTAGTAGACATGCAGCGGTAGAGACTTTGATATCAACCGACTCCAAGTTAGAAGATGATAACCAAAATGAGATTAAGGTGAAACAGCTTTATTCAGGGAAGGCTCCAAATGATAATGGGTCTGTTATGTACAGTTTAAGGGATCCAGTGGTATGGGATGCGAAACCTCTCACGCAAATTAGCTTAGAGAGTGGCGCCGCTGTGCCATTCCCTAAGAAAAAAGATCGCATTTCACGTGATTCTTTATCCCCTGCTAGGAATGTAGAAGTAGTTAGTAGAGATGATGACGAAAAATCCTCTGGGTGCATGCACCATATCCCCAGAAAGAAGTCTTTTAGGCCAGTGCCGCATATTGGAGACAGAAGAATAAGGAAGGTTTTGGCTTCTCGACATTGGAAAGTAGCTTTAAGATCCAAGAATGAGTTTCCTAGAACTGGTAAGTGGTCACTCATCATTTTAGATGTGACAAGTTTGTTTCTGCGTGTAGTCTTGTATTTCCACTAGGGTTTTGGATCTGTTAATGTCCTCCTAATTTTAGTTCATGGTGGCAGGTTTAAATTTCAAGGCTGATTACAAAGATAAGAGTAGCTATTATAAACGCCAAAGATCTCAGAGGAACTATCCTTTCAAGAAGAGAAAATTTTTTGATATTGACTTTGAGTCGTATTCTGACAAGGAAATTAGTAGCAAAGCCGCTGTCTATCCACCTGAGAATCATACTGATGGAGATGTTTCTGGTTAGTTTTAGAAAAAAAAGCATTAGTTTCTTTCGCCATTTTGTCGTTGAGTCCCGTCTAAGTCTTTTTTCTGCAAATTTGGTCCTCTTGCAGCCAAATGGCCATCACCTCCAGTGTCAGGTCAGCATTTGTCATACCAATCTACAGATTCCCATGGTAATGGAGTTTTTGATGGAAAGACGTTATGTACTACTTGTGGTTTTGTAGAATAATTCATTTTGCTTATCGACGCTCTTTTTTAACATTCAGTTAAGCTTCGGATTGAGTCTTTCACTGTGCCGGAGCTATTTATTGAAATTCCAGAAACAGCTACTATTGGCTCATTGAAGGTTTGTTGGCCGATCATATGAAAAACTTATTCCCCGGCTGTATTGCATAGCTGACCGCAGGGGTTATACTGCAGATATGTCTGGGGTCTCCACTCTCTCTCTCTCTCTCTCCCCGGTTTTGTTCACAGTATGATGAGGGGTGTGTAGGATGAGTGGTTTGTCATTTTAGTTCTTCTTGAGTCACGGTAGTCTTTTGAACCACAGACTAACTTTTCTCTTGAATAGCTTGGATTTGGCACCTTGTCTGCAGATTTCTATACAGATTGCATGTCAAGTCTCTGTTCTTAAATTTGTTTTGGCTATGTGCAGAGGGCAGTTATGGAAGCAGTTAGTGGTGTTCTTGGCAGTGAGTTACGTGTTGGCGTTCTTCTCCAGGGGAAAAAAGTTGGAGATGACAGCAAAACTCTACTACAAACAGGAATATCTCATGATAATCAATTGAATTCTTTGGGTTTTGCCTTGGAGCCTGACCCTTCGCACACATCTGCAAGTCCGAAGGTCTCTTCCCTGTTTCCTTGCGATGTGCCTCAGCCTTTGATAAGGTAAGAAAGCATTTTATGTTCCTGGTCGAATCATCATTTTAGTTGAGGGTGCTTAATGGAAAATCTTGTACAATTTTTTGTGGAGAGTCGCTTTAATTTTGTTGTATGAAACTTGCCTATTTATTATGAACATGGCTTATAGCATGATAATGTTGAACTGCATACTGAACTGAGCATTATTAGTGGATCCAAGGTGGTGTTGATACTATATTTCTTTAGAAACAGGAACGAGGTTAAGATAAGTCCGGTTATCGTTGTGCTATTTCCAAAGACATTTTGTCGACTTGGTTTCGCTCAGATTGTTTCTCACCAGGTATCCCACTGGTCCAAAAGATTCTCAAAAGAGAATTCATGATACCCTGCGTGAACATGAAGAGACAAACATACCTATCGTGGTGGAGAATGATTGTGATTTGGCAACCTCTCCTGTTGGATTGTTGAAAAAGGGTACTGCCCAATCTAAAGCACTTATACCTGTTTCATCTATGAACGTGGAGGCTTTAGCTGTGGTACCAGTGCACAGGAAATCAAAAAGATCTGAGTTTGCTCAGCGGCGCATTCGTAGACCCTTTTCTGTTACTGAAGTTGAAGCACTTGTTCAGGCTGTTGAAAAACTTGGAACCGGAAGGTAAGCATGAAATTACACATTCAAGGACTTATAGATTGTGCAGTGTTTTGATATTTTGGGTGGTTGACGTTGATATGTTGAGACTTTAGAGGTTAGCGTGCAGGGGTTGCCTTGAGTCAGCATCTATATTTTTAGTTTGTGTGCTGCGGGCTTTTAGTTTCTTAGAACCGTTCTTTCAGTTCTGTTTTAACATTTTCTAGGTGAATTAAGCCTACGAATCCTGTTCTAAATCTGCAACTATCAGATGGCAATTTAGAGGTTAGTGTGCAGGGGTTGCCTTGAGTTAGCATCTATATTTTTAGTTTGTGTGCTGCAGGCTTTTAGTTTCTTAGAACCGTTCTTTCGGTTCTGTTTTAGCATTTTCTAGGTGAATTAAGCCTACGAATCCTGTTCTAGATCTGCAACTATGAGATGGCAAATTAACTATTTTTCCCATATTCTTAATAATTCATTAATTTTATACCTCCAGGTGGAGAGATGTTAAGCTCCGGGCCTTTGATAGTGCAAAGCATCGGACGTACGTGGACTTGAAGGTGAATTTTTTCTTGAAAAGTATTTGAAGCTACTGATATTGCAGTTGCATTTTAGTTTCAGCCTCACCATTCTTAAAACTCCGTTCAATTGATTCATGAATATCAAATATTCAATTTCTGCGCGCACACACACTGATCAATGAACAAACGGAGGGAGACGATATAACCCCTCATTACCATTACCTACCCTGCTTTTGTTTCAGCCTCACCATTCTTAAAACTCCCTTCAATTGATTGATGAACTTTAAATATGCAATTTCCACACACACTGATCAAATGAACAGAGGGAGACCATGTAACCCCTCATTACCTACCCTATTTCTATGAAGTTCAACTTGTAGCATAGAGAAGGTGGCCGAATCTCCCATCCAAGTCCAGCCAAGAGTGTCCATTTGAAGACAAACAAAAAAGCGGGTCCATCTTTATCTCCCCTTATAGCTTTGGTCTGCATTGCTTCTTGAATAGAACGAGTGCCAATGTCAATCTGCTAAGTTCAAATCCTGCACAAACTCCTCTGCTTCTGAAACGTGATTCAACTATATACAGGATAAGTGGAAGACACTGGTACACACGGCTAGAATATCGCCTCAGCAGAGGAGGGGAGAGCCTGTTCCTCAAGAGCTCTTGGATAGGGTCCTGACTGCACATGCTTACTGGTCCCAACACCAAGCCAAGCAACAGCTCAAGCACGTCTGATGTGAGGTGATGGAACAGGTCACTTCGTGTTTAGAGTATGTCTAGTTATATTCCCAATTGTTCCATTGACTTGTAAAAAAATGTGACTGTCAAGAAAATAGGTACATTAAAAGGGAGTATTTAGTTGTAATATTTTCCCCGCTGTCGCGGAGGTTATTTGTGTATGATGGATAGGGTGGCGATTGTAAAGGGGATGAGACGGAATAAGCGCTTGCTAATGGTGTGTTTTAGTTCCGACACCAGCACGGTGTCGTTTTGTCTTCATTGGCTATAGATAATCTGGCATGTAGATGGAAATACGTATAAGTTGAAGCTGCACATGTAACCTTTGTTCATTAATGTTAAAAGTGTATTAGTTCCTTCATTATCTCTTTTTATGGCGACAATACATGCTCTAACTGTGCGAAAGTCGGATCCGTCCGAGACCGACTCGAATGAGCGGACCTTCTTATCTTTCAATCTGGAAGATGATGCATTGGAAATTAATGTTGGGCGAAAAGGATTGGTATAGATAGGCAAGCCAAAAGATAAGGTCGACGTTCATTCATGGGGGATACAAGAGCAAGTTTTGTTTAAATTAGCTAGTAATTATGTCATTATCAATGATCAGTAATTTTTCGACATGATCATAAACATTTCAGACAGAAAAATAAGTCTTGATAGATCAAGAATCATATGTAAAAGGTAAATGTCTCACAAGCAACTGCTGAGGTGTCCACATCTCTGGTGACTTTTGCAAACTGATGCAATTTTCAACATTTCAGTTGATTTTTCACATTAAATAACAATAGTCCACAATGATCACGGATGAATTATCATTTTTAGGCAAACTCAAACTTAACAGTATGCTTTTCAGGGTCTATAAAAGGGGCAAATCAATATTCACCGAAAGTGCAAATAGTCCTTTTCCTATGCTAAGGAACAATGGACTGCAACCTGGTCCACATAATCGCTGTGCAATGGCAAGGATTAAGATGGATTTTGAATGGCGATCGCACCATTTGGGATGTTATTCAATTGGGGAGACCAATCTTCCCAAAGCACCACCTTCAAAGAAAGTGTTGCTCCACCAGCACTAACGATGCTATTAAATCATCATGATTAATTGGAAAAAAAAGAAAAAAAATCATCATGATTGAAGTACAGTTCTCCTCTTGATTTCGGATAATCGCGTTGGTGTCTATCTCCCAAATAGGAGCCGACCGAATCTATCCTTTTAGAGAAATTCTTTCCTAGGCACGTTAATTTCCCCTCTGCAAGTGCAACCATTGGATTCTCGAAATCACTCGAAATGCGAATCTTGTCAAATACTGTCGCGGAACAGAGACAAATTACTAAATAGAGTAGCCAGGACGAGCTCATGGGAAAAGCAAATGGAGAGAACAAATGAAAGTGATTAGCGTCATTTTTTGCTTGGATCGGACCACCGCTGTCCTTTCCCATTGGCCAATATAAAAAGCCACATTACGCACCTTCGCTCTCAGTCTCTCCTGTTGTCTCGTGTCCACAGATGAATGATTAAACAGACGAATGATTAAGAGATTCCGTCGTTTTGTGGCTGTAGCCTGGCGGAAGGGTCTCCATCGGCATTCACTTTCCAACGTAAAAGAGCGGTGCAATGATGTGAGCTGCGAGTCCCAATCCCACACAGCCACGATGGTGATGGGATCGTTCATCCTGGATTAGTTTTATATATAATGTTACAACGCTCTTTCGGTGGACACGATTTCGCCCTTTGCGGATAGCATTCTTTATACGACGAGAGAAAGCTCAGTTTTAGCTAAGATATTCGCAAAAAAGAAAGAATAATTTCATTGGCCCGAGCATCGACAACGAAAGTGAAGGACAACGAAAATCTCTTCTTGGCCCATCTTGTTTCGCAGCCCAGAGACCAGATGCATCCGAGCCCCAAACAGCCAAGAATCAGAACACAACAAATATCGAGTAGGTCCTCTGCTTGATGATGTTCGACTTACCAGATCTGTACGCAGTTCGGCACGACTCAAAATTTAGTTTGTAGTTCGTACACATCCTTAGCAAAGCAAATCGTGCGGTGAAGGGTGGCTTCCGGCTTTGAAATCGATCGTATAGCTGTATATTTCAAGGCCTTGAAAAAACAATACGCATTTTCTTTACCCAAAACGAAATTCGGACCGGTTTGACATTTCGATCGTGAAGATTTGCGCTGGTCTACGGTTTGGTTAGCCAGAAATTTCTTTTTTCGTTTCGGTCAAGTCATCCATTACTTTGCATGGTGGACAGCTCACCTCGTACCGTGTCGCAATTTGTTGCTCCCTCGTACCTCCTCGGTTTCGTCAATCAAAAGTCAATCCACACCGGGTCAACAAAGAGGTGGGGGGGAAAATTGAACAGTCAAATGTCGCGAAATCTTCCAATTTTCTCTCTCGCGCTCGCCCTGCGTTTGCTGGGGCATTGAATCCGGGGGAGGTTGCTCAGTGTCCTTACTTTCCAAAAGCAAAAGCAAAAGCAAAGAGGAAAAAGACCATAAGAGAAAGGTGGGGAATTCAAAGCTGTTCACACGTAAGAAAGCGACCCCATCGCAATCGCATCAGGGTGCACGGCAAGCCAACTTTTACCTTCCACATTGACCAAATTGCCTCCACCTATTCGCCCATCAGATCGTATTTGGATTTTCTTTCCTTTAATTGACCCCAAATTATCCTTTAATCGGTCGTGACTTTCACGTCAACAGAAAAGATTAAAATTTAGTTTTGGGTTCGTCAAATCTTTTCGGTGCGATGTAATTAAAATAAATGGTCTTTTTCGGCAATCGCCTAAGGCCGATTAGAAACTGGAGAAGCGAGAAATGAAAATCGGCCACCTTGGGAGCGAGACTGTAACCAGGAAACGATTAAAGGTTGGGTTAATACCACGAAAAACTCCAAACTATTATATCTGTGGTAAATTTACCTCGAACTAATTTTTTTGACCACCAAAAACCCCAAACCGGTACACGCGTGACAAATTTAGCCCAAACTAATTTTTCGACCACTAAAAATCGTAAACTGGTGCACATGTGATAAATTTACCCTCTATTAAATTATATTAATATCACGAAAAATCACAAATTGATACACCTATGCCGTTTGTGTGTGGGATAGCCTACCTGCCACAAGCCATTATCGCAAGACCCGTATGATTACACTCAGTCTAGGCGATGACAAAGACAGTCCTCCAGGCCTCTATAAAAGGGACTGCCTTTTAGCCACCAAGCCTTTCTTCGAATTTTGATGAACGTCGGTAGAATTTGAGGTGATATTAGCGAAACTTGATGGAATACGTGGCTGAGGAACACCTTTAGACGACGATTTTTCTTCGTTTTTGCGCATTTTTCTTCTTGCTATAGTGCCGCTACAGTGCTGAACAGTGCATGAACAATATATAAACAGCATTTTCTAAAAAATTGAGCCGATTTTTCGGTAAAAACCAAAACTGGTACAACCGTCAACTGTCACATGTTGTCTAACTCAGAAATTTGAGTGTAAAATTTAACGGAAGCTAACGGAGTGCAAAATTATCATAGATGTACCAATTTAGGATTTTTGGTGATCAAAAAATTAGCTTAGAATAAATTTATCATGAATATATCAGTTTGAAATTTTTCGTGGCATTACCTCTTAAAGATTTTTGTCCCACGACATAAGGGGCCAGCTACCGAGGGGAATCAAAACAAGAACGGCACGAGAAGGCAATGTGATTGGGTGGAATGACTTTGTGTCCTTCGTACTGTACTAATGCATTCTTTTCAGCATGGTCTTCGTCAACAAATTTAAATGAGTGATAAAAGTCCCGTCGGTAGTAGAAATAAAAAGGGCAACGAAACACATAAATTTTTCCTCAAATTTTGAAGTTCTTTTTCATGTGTTTTATTTTAATTGTTTTTCGGTCAGACCCGGGAATTTTAAGGTTTGGTCTCGATCGAGAGAGAGAGAGGATGGAAGACTCGTCGCACCGCGGGACGGCTCTTCCACCCCATGGAGCCCAAAGTCCTCATTTGTAATTTTATATCGTTGCTTATCTTAAATAAGAAAGAAGATAAAAATATCGACTCTACGAATATCTAAATTTTTGTCCTTTATTTATTAGAGTTAATACTACGAAAAACTCCAAATTGATACACCTGTGATAGATTTATCCAAAACTAATTTTTTGATCACGAAAGACCCCAAATTGGCTATGACAATTTTACTCTATGTTAGTTTCCGATAAATTTTACAGTTAAATTTTTGAGTTAATTGACACTTAACGGCTGACGAGTGTACTGGCTTGAGGTTTTACTCTTCATCGGTCATAGATGTATAATTTTGTGATTTTTCGTGATATTATTCTAATTTAACAAAGGGTAAATTTGTCACAAATGTACCAGTTTTGGGCTTTTAGTGGTCAAATAATTAGTTTAGGGTAAATCTGTCACGGGTGTATCAGTTTGGGGTTTTTGATTGTAAAATATTAGTTTGGGATAAATTTGTCACAGGTGTACCAATTTAGGATTTTTCGTAGTATATCACTACTTTTAGAGTTTGATTTTTATTTGAATTCTCTAGAAGATCGGTGGATGGAAACTGTTGAGATTTGTCACAAACGCGGTTTGGTTGCCTTTAGATGCTTTAGTTAAAGCCACATTAGCAAAAAGGTCATATCAGTCTTCCCATCTATGAATTTTTGTTTTGAAAACATTCTTTATGACACGAAAGAACAAATGAATTTTCAGTCTCTCCGCCACCACTGTTCTCGAAATCTATACTTTAAAATCATCACTGCCAGGAGGTTTGGCCGCCTTGCCACCTCCGGTTTTCGCAATGGTGCCACCACTACCATTGATCAACCTCACCACCTCTAATTGACACGGATCCTGCCTTGCCCCTAGCATGATGGCTTCACCACCATCGAATACTGCTCCGGGTCGCCGATAGAATCAACACTTAGCTGCCACAATTCTCCTCACCACGGGCGGCTCACCGCCACCAACCTAGCTTGACATCATCACCATCGACATCGACCTTTGACTCGCCATCGTGAAAGTCTCTCTCTCAAACAGAGTTTCGACCTTCGGATATGAGATCACGACCCCTGGATCTGATGCCGTAGAGTCGGGCGATGATGGCTATGGACGGGTTTGGGCGACGAGGGGCCAAAGGAAGAAAAAGATGCTGGAGCTATAGATCCACAAGAAAGAAGAAGAGAATAAAAAAGAAAAGGAAAAAAAAAAGAGACGAAAAAAGGGAAAAGAAAAATGATAATTTCGCTAAAAAACGGAAAGTCAAAATTGTTTAACAACTGAGGTTGGAAAAAAATTGAAATGAAGTGGCACAATCACGTGATGTGGCGTTCAATTCAATCGAGATATTACTTTAATCTGAATTTGTAGAATCGAGATATTCAAGTGAATGAAAAGGAGATTAGGTACTTAAACATCGAGAAAAAAAAAGAAAATTCACGTGATGTGTAATACTAAGAAAAGAAAGCAAAAGTCTGGTGAGAAAGATGGGAAAAGGAACTCGTATCTAAAGCTCCGTTCGTTTGGTGGAAAATATTCTCCTTTCGGAAAATATTTTCCCGGAAGTCATTTTCCTGAAACACAATTTTCTGGTGTTCGGCTAAAATCTGAAAAAGTTTCGGAAAATATTTTCTGGTGTTCGGCGACCGCCGATCCGGCGGCGTCCGGCGACCGGCGGAGGCGATCGGCAACCGGCGGCGGTCGGTGGCGGCGGGCGGCGATCGGCAACCGGCTGCGATCGGCGATTTCGACGATCAGTGAGGCGATCGGCGGCTAATGGCGGCGGGCGGCGATTTGGTAAGGGCCGGCGACGGGACGGTGGATCGCGGTGGCAATCGACGACCGACGATCGGCGGCGGCGGTATTGCGACCGAAGGCGCATGGATAATCGACGGCGACCGGTGGATGTTGATCGGGCGGGCGGGTGAGATCGACGGCGCATGGTGGATCGGTCATTCATGGCGGTGGCGACTGACTACGGCCCGGCTGGTGATGGCCGGTGGCCGACGGCGGTGACCGGCAATCAATTTCCTCTCCCACGGAAAATATTTTCCCTCCCATGGGCAATTTTCCCCCAAAGTGAAGGCAAAATTGCCCATGGGAGGGAAAAAAATTGCCCATGAGAGGGAAAATATTTTCCGTGGGAAGTTATTTTCCGCCCCCGAACACTGAAAAATCCGAAAAATATTTTTCTGGAAAATATTTTTCGCCAAACGAACGGATCCTAATCTTCAAATCTACTCGTGCCAAATTTAATGTAATTGGTGCGTCTATCTAGGGCAAGACATCACACACGTTGGGAAGGATCCAAAGCCACTTTTGATGCTCGAGCAGCTCGCGTTCTTGCATGGACATCTTCCGACGTATTCCACAATTTGGAGCGACGTTTGCCAAGGTGGACGAGTGGTGGGGTTGGAGAGTCATTGTCATGCAATGCACGGGGCTTGAATAATGCAGACCTCACGACGATGACTCCTAAGTCTTAGCTCACCATCCCTGCAATTCTCCTCCATCGTTTATCTATGTAGTGGGTGCGGCTTTATGTCTTTGTCTCGTAGAAAGCGACTACCGGGAAAATTGTCCAAAAAGACGTAAATTTATTCTACTTTTATAAATTCCGTCCAAAATCTTTTTAATTTTATCGATTGAATCATAAATATTTTCAGGGTTTGTCAATTTAATTCATTTGGCCAATATTGATCGAAAATTGCTGACGTGAATGCCAGCCGTCCTGCACGACACGACAGATGGTAGGCGTTAACATGGACTATTTTTAACAATATTTTAATATTTTTTATTAATTTATTTTATTGTCCTCTTTCTCTGTTCTTTCTTTTCTTTTCTTTTTCTTTCTCCTTTCTTTTTTTCTTTTTCCCTCTTTCGGCCACCGCTGGGGCTCATTGATAGCTGGTGGAGGTCGCTGGTCATCGATGACGCCCGGCGGTGGACGGCGGAGGGAAAAAGGGAAAGAAAAGGGAAAGAAAAGGAAAGAAGGAAAAGAGAAGAAAAGACAAAAAGGGAAAAAATAATACAAATATCATTAAAAATTATCCATGTCAGTGTCAGTCATGCCACGTAAAACGGATGGCATCTACTTCAACGATTTCCTGCAAAAATTAGTCAGATGAACTCAATTGGTAAAACGTGAAAATATTTAGGGCTCAATTGGCAAACTTGAAAGATTTAGGACTTAATTGATAAAAATATAATGTGTTTATGACTTTTTGGACAATTTTCTCGATATTTCTGTTAGCAAGATTATCAGGTAATAAATCCTCAAAAGGCGATTTCCCTTTCTAAATCTAAATAAACCCTCAAGAAAAGGGACTTCGAGATTGTGCAGTGGTCCAATAAAATTTCATATTATATCAAAGCATGAGATTCGAGTTCGGATCTTTCTAGATCATTTATTTGCCACCCTCAGAGTATATTTCCACGCTAAGTCCTAGGCAAAAGTCTAACCTCCTCGCGAGAAATAGTGTTAGAACATTTAAATATTAAATCACGTCGTCATCTAACATTATCGGTAATCTATGTCGTAACATCACCCATTAATATTCTCTCTTTTCTTTACTTTTTCCCGCAAAAAAATTTAAAAAAAAAATTAAACTCTGTCACCATGTGTTGGAGTAATGTAATATGCACGGACGAGATGTCGACGACAAGGACTTGTTTTGTAATTGATGGAGAGTGGTTGATTAAAATTTGAATAGGCCGCACGCTGTGTCATTTAGCTAATGACTTTGACCACTTCATACGATGGAGGAAAGCGAGGAAGCGTGATCATCAAATGTGAATGAATTGATGATAAGGGTGACAATGAATGCGCTTGCATTCTCAACGCGGGTGCTTCAAGTCAAGCTTGGAGTTCTCGAATGGAAAGAAAAGAGAATTGATATAGAAATTTTGGATGCCGTGATGGGGCATATCACTCCCTTTGGAACATAAGAATCCAATAAAGCGAATTCCTTTTATCCTCCCATCACGAAAAAAGTTACGCGATCCTTAACGTGTGATTGTTCGTTTTTATGAGTAATATAAACGATCGTTTTCAGAGAAATATTCTTTGAATTATTTATATTTTGCAGAACAAACAAAACCATAAGTTCTTGCATTACATGTTGAGTAAAAGTCCTTGAAGCTTTACTGATCAAAAAAAAGTCCTTGGAACTTTGAACAAATAAAAAGTTAATATCGCAAATAATCTCAAATTGGTGTACTTGTAACAAATATTAGTTTTGGCCACCAAAAATCCAAAATTGGTATACTTGTGATAAATTTACCTCAAAATAAATTTTTTGACAAAAAAAAAATCCAATATTAGTACATTTGTGACAAATTTACCATCTGCTGATTTCCGTTAAATTAGATTGATACCATGAAAAATCACAAACCAGTACACCCGGAGGGTAAAACCCAAAACCGGTATAAATCAACTGTCACGTATCATCCAATTTAGTAATTTGAAGATAAAATTTAACGGAAACTAAAGGTGGGGTAAATTTATCAAAAATATATTATTTTAGAGTTTTTGATGCTTAAAAAATTAATTTTGGATAAATTTATTGTAAGCGCATCAATTTGAAATTTTTTGCGGCATTGATCGGAATGAAAGTCCTCGGACCACTCGATTTAATAAACTCTAAAAACGAAGATGGAAAATTGCCCGATTTGCAAAAGAGATAACAATGATAATGTAGAAAAAGATAGACACGAGCGCAAAATTCCAAGGGGGGGAAGGGGGACCCGCGAGTTGACCCGAAGTGGGGCCAACCGTTGATTTGCCTTTCTTCTTTGTGGACCGAGATTTTTTTGTTTTGCAGGGGTCGGCACTCGGTTAACCCACGCGTGGGCCACGCCATCATCGTGCAGCCGACAGGAATACCCACGTTTCTCGACTCTTGGATCCATCCCCGATGGAAAAATGCGATTTTGCTGTTTCGAGCTTATCCGAAGGTGCCCCAAATGACACGCTCGACGTTAGTGAAGGAAGGAAGAATAGAATCCATGCTTGGAAGGTTTGCTGCTCGCCTCGCACCGTGTTCTAATAGTCTTCGTCTTTCGTGATTCGAGACCGTGAGAATTCGACTTTACGAGAGAGGCTCGAAGGTCACTTTTCGCGTTTAATTTTGGATACCGAGAAAAGAACCCTTTTGAAAAGTCCGTGTTAGGTCGTTTAAAGCCATACAGTATTTTTCATAAATCTTTTTCGAGCTAAAACAATAATTGTTTCGTTTATCCATTAGGTATTTATTTCGAGTTCGTTTCGAACCGTGTTTCTATCTTTTCTCGTGAACTTGTTGAATCTCGTGAACAATCAATGTTTCTTTGAGTTATGATTAAGCGTAAAGACACAACAAAATAGAGGGTAAATGCGGGAAAGAAAAATCCAGACACATGATTTATTAATAATGTTCACCATTAAACTAGGGTTACATCTAATAAATGATTGCACTTTAATTAACACATCTCACATCTCACTTCTCTATTACCACTCTCAATTACAGGAGGGAAAAATTATATATAAGCGGTACAAGAAAACTGTAAGATTTTGTAGGATCACTGTCAACTATTTTAAAAGTTTAAGTTGTTAGATAAATGCGTGTTTTAATATTTAATCATTCTAACAAAAATAGTAGGTCATTCGATTGCTACTACCAATAAAATATCGGCTCAAACTATACAAATTTTTTTGAAAGCACGGAGGCGGGCACTGTCCCCTGCGACCTCCGGACTCCCGCCCCGCTCATTGGGGGATCGGGGCCCCCTGTTTGAACCGCACCCCCAACACTCTAAACCTAGGACAGATGTAAGCTCGTTGTCACGAGACATGACATAATCACTCCACCATCAGGGCACGCGGTTAAATGGACCCGGGTCGGGTGAGAGGACTCGAGTTCGAGCCCCGCATTGACTCCCTCCGGTTCTGGTCGAGTGCCAGGTGGCGGGCAGGCAGGCGGGGGTGGGAATGGGACCCTCGTGTGCAGTTGGAAAATCGAACGGCCCGAGTTAAAAGGGTTAGGTGCTCCCCCCTGTAAGCATTCCCCCAACCCCTCTCCCTCTCTCCCTCCAGTTTCGCTGCTTCCGCGAAGATTCACGGCGGCTCCTATAAGAGATCCGACCACCGACCTCGCCACAGCTCCACCTCCAGCTTCCCGCTTCGGCCCCCTTCCTCAGGTACGCCTCGATCCCCATCTTCGGTTTCTCTTGGTGGGTTGCCTTGTAACTGTGTCTAGATTCGATCGGCTTTTCTCCCTTCCTGTCCGATTCCGGCGTTCAGAATGACGACGTTAGGGTTTCGTTTCTCGATGCATGCGTTTCTCGACCGCATGCCTATCTGAATTCCTTGCCCGTGCTGTGTTGGCTTCTTCTTGTTCTTGTTGTTGTTGTTGTTTCGGATCGATTGCCGAGCTTTAGATGGGATGGCTAGGTCATTTGGAACGCTTTCCTTATCGTGATTTGGTCCCTTTTCCTATCTGTTTGAATGGTTTTCAGGGCTTAGAATTGTATGAATTCTCCGAAGGCCGATCTTACCGGAATTGTAGGTCTGTGACCCGGGTTAGAATCTGCTTCCCCTGAGCTCGTACGGACCGAGAAATGTTTATGGATCCTCAGTACGCGGGATATTCTGGGCCGTTTAGCGGCTTCAGTTTCCACGATCAGACCCATGTGCCCTTCGCGAAACAATTGGAGAATTTGGCGAACCACTTGATGCTGGACGACCCTGCTTCGGACCTGTCGGTTGACTTTCCTTCCTTCGCTTCTGATCCCGAGCCCTGTCAATCCGCCGTATCTCCTAGTATCAGTACGGATGGAGATTTCCTTTCCGACTATAGTGACTCCCCGGATCCCATGTTGAAATACATCAATCAGATGCTCATGGAGGAGGACATGGAAGACAAACCCTGTATGTTTCATGATCCTCTGGCTCTCCAAGCTGCCGAGAAATCCTTATACGATGTTCTCTGTCAGAAGGACCATCCCTCGCAAAACCAGTTACCTCTTCACATGGACAGCCCTGATGACAATTGCTCTGGTAGCAGCAGCGGCTACTGTGGCAGTACTATCAGTTCGAGCGCTAGCAGTGGTGGCAATTCTTTCGATTTTCCAGGGATTGGTGATTTTTGCGAGAGCCGACCCGCTATATTACAGGCTCACATCCCAGAGAACTTTGTGTTCCGCGCGACTGCAAATCCCAGTCGCCAATCATCGCATGAATATCGAAAGAGTGTCATTGCCAAGGCTAAAGGGATGTTGGGCTCAGGCTCTCCAATGGGTGAGATAATGCTTCCGAACCTTTTTGCGGATAGCAATTCCATGTTTTTCTTCCAGAAGGGGTTCGAGGAAGCTAGCAGATTCATTCCGAAGGGTAATCCGTTGTCGATCGATACAGAGAAGAGGATGCCCCATCTGGTGTTGAAGAGGGAGACTGCAAGGGCCGCGGTCAAGGTGGAGAAGAATGAGGCTGAACTCTCGTATTTATATGAACTCAAGGGAAAGAAGAAGCATGAGCGCGAGGATGCAGATTTTGAATATCCGAGGAGCACAAAGCAGCCAGCAGTTTGCTTCGACGAGAATGATTTAGTTGATATGTTCGACAAGCTTCTACTTTGTGCTCCGACAGGAAGGAAGCCTGATTCTAAATCTGATGACGCCTCAAATAATGGGGCAAGCCAGATTGTACAGCAAAATCTGCAATCATCTGCACTTTCAGCCGATCAGGTCTCTGGCAAAAAACCAATTAGTGATAAGAAGGAAGTCGTGGATCTGAGGAACCTTCTGTGTTCATGTGCACAAGCAGTTGCCGCGGAGGATCGTACGAATGCTAATCAATATCTGAAGCAGATTAGGCAGCACTCCTCCCCTTTTGGTGATGGGTCTCAGAGGTTGGCCCACTCTTTTGCTGAAGCCCTTCAAGCACGCCTGGATTGCACAGGAGCGCAGGCCTATACGCAGCTAGGTTCCAAAAGGAGATCTGCTAATGAAATGTTGAAAGCTTACCAAGCTTATCTCTCTGTTTTCCCATTTCAGAGGTTTGCAATCATCTTTTCTAACCATAATATTTTGGGCATATCTGAGAAAGCGACAAAGCTGCATATTATTGATTTTGGTATCCTATATGGTTTTCAATGGCCCCCCCTCATTCATTGTCTCTCAAGGCGACCTGGTGGCCCCCCGAAATTGCGCATCACGGGGATCGAGCTGCCCCAAAGTGGTTTCCGTCCGGCAGAAAGAGTTCAAGAGACTGGTCGGCGCCTGGCGAAGTATTGTGAGCGTTTCAATGTTCCATTCGAGTACAATGCTATCGCGCAGAAGTGGGAAACCATTAGGATCGAGGACCTCAAGATTTCTAACGACGAGGTGGTTGCCGTGAATTGCCTCTTTCGATTTAAGAATTTACTTGATGAGACTGTTATGGTCAATAGCCCGAGGGATCACGTGCTAAAGCTAGTACATCGAATCAGGCCAAGAATTTTTGTCCACTCTATCCTTAATGGATCCTTCAATGCCTGCTTTTTTGTGTCGAGGTTTCGGGAGGTTCTTTTCCACTACTCGGCCTTGTTTGATGCATTTGATGCTAAATTACCTCGGGAACATCCGATGAGGCTGGTATTTGAACGAGAGTTTTTCAGCCGGGAAGCTCTGAATGTCATTGCATGTGAGGGCACAGAGAGAGTCGAGAGGCCTGAGACATATAAGCAGTGGCAAATCCGCAACATGAGGGCGGGTTTTAAGCCCCTCCCTCTGGATCCTGCAATTATGAAGAAGCTGAAGTCGAAGTTGAAAGAGGGGTACCTTGATGATTTCGTGGTTGACAAAGATGGTCACTGGATGCTCCAAGGATGGAAAGGTCGGATTCTTTATGCTTCCTCCTGTTGGGAGCCTGTGTAGAATTTCTCGTAGTCTTTATTAACTTGCACTTTTGGTGTGAGCCGGGGATAGTTTATTATGACCAAGGAGGAAGCCATTGGCTGATTTGTGGCAAGTAGTGCGTCTTTCTAGCTTTCGGAAACAGGCATCATATAACCTTGCTTTTGCTTTAAGATTGTATGCTGCTATAAACTTCTCTCTATTCGGCTAGTGATCTTTCTGTTTAGACTGATATCTAGGAAACGCTTGCCCTCCCTTGGCTGTGTATACTGTATAGTAGAACTACTACTCTTTATCTGCGGTACTGTCTAGACAGTCTTCCTGGACTATAATAAATTTTAGCACTAATGTATTTATTTCTGGTTATACTGTTTCCTCATATCCTTATTGTCCGCTTTTGGGAGAGTTGTAATGGCACTGAAAACATCGACTCCAACGGTGTTGGGTGATCTTAGTGGCCTGAAACTGGTCTTGGTTAATTTTCTTGATAAGACGGAAAGTCTTTTTTGAGTATCACGGCATTATGTTCACATGGGGCATGTTTTGCACGCGTAAGCAATTTTTCCACGAGTTCAGATTTATGAATGCAAAAGGATGTGATTTGTCAGATTTGAGCCCCAGCTACCAATTACTATATCGCTGATCCAGAAATTTCTTATTCGCATAAATTATAACTAGGCGCGAAGATGGTGTTGAGATTTCTCAGTTTGTGGAATGCATACATATAGGTGGAGTTCTTAACTAGTCTGTTTCGTGCTCTTACAAATTAGGGGTGAGCAAGACGGATCGATCAAATCGGGAATCGCATGGATTGGACCTAATTGGTTCTCGGTTCCTGAAAGTGGAACCAGTGTCCGGGCAGTCCGATTTCCGGTTCGAAAGGAGAAACTGAACTGATCTGGACCGCTTGAATTGATTATTATTTATTTATCTTAAATGAAAACCTAATCATCTAAAATCCCTCATGCATGCCTTCTCTTGCTTTCCTCTTTCGGTCTTTCTGAATTCACCCACGATGCTCACGCCTCCTCTTTAGTCTTTGCCTCTCCTCTCTTCTCTAATCGGCTTATCTCGGTGTTCTTTGCTTAAATTTGTCTCTTATTAAACGCAAAATTAACTGGGGTTTTTCTATTATATTTTTTTAGGAGTTGCCAGTCTTGAACTTTGAGTTTAGCTCAATGCCTCAATGTTGCCCATCTCGGTAGAATAGGAGCTTCCCATTAGCTCGACTGTTTCTATCATCAATTCTATAAAACCAAAGCAATACTATAAATACTTCATATTGATTGGTTTTTCCATCCTAATGTATACTTGCTTTTTTTTTGGGTGGTGAAGCTTCGAAGATTAGCTAATATGTATGAAATCTTTCCGGATGGTGACCGGAGTCAAATGTACTATTGGTGATGCCGATTGAAATGAAGTGCTTAAAATGATAGGTTCCACTGGACTGTCTGGGAACTGGACCGGTCGATCCAGTCTAGTCCGGTTCCAAGGACCTCCGGTTCGATCCCCGGTTCCCAAAATTGAGAACCGGTCCCTATTGTGAATTAGAGAAACATTATCTTCAACTTATCCATTATATAAATGACTTGGGTCGACTCGTCGGTTAACTTATGAGTCTCGGCATAGAGAGAATATTATTACGCTTCGCGCGGTCCTATCGAAAATGCATTAGTCTAAATGGTTCCCACCAAATTTAATGCAAGATCCACCAAATCCAACGAACGACGCTCGCGTCGCTTTAAATCCGATAATTCTATCTCACCTCATCGTCCAACTTTGGGGGGGTCCAGCCTTCTAAGTACTGGGCCACTCGTCCGATCGAGCTGATCTTAAGTCAAGAGAAACGAGAATCTCGGTGGGGGGAAATGAAAACTCGGAGAAGAAAACCGAGAAAGAAGAAATGCGAGGTCGAATGAGGGGCGCCAACTCAATGATCATTATTCTTTTGGGTCAAAAAGAATGCTGTATACTTTCAAATTTTCAACAGTCGAAATAAAGATAGTACCCAGGATATTAGAGGTTTGCCTCCGCAACTGCTCTGATTAAGACCCGCCACCAAACCCCGTTACGAGATTAGGCATGGATAGACATGGAGCTGTCCTAATTTTAGCCATTGCGGAATTAGTTTCTCCTAGGATGGAAAAAGAAGAAGAAATCGACCCATCAGAAGCGATAATGTTAAGGTTCGGGTAAATCATGGTGGGGACTTTGCAAACCACCGTATCGAAATGTTTGACACGTAGCAAGTCTGGAATTTCGTCACGTGATTAGCTTCTTTCTGGCCAAGACTAATCGTAAGCTCGGTAAGCAAATTCGAAAGACCACAACCGTAAGTATATCACGATTTTTGAGTTTTCTTGCGATGGCAAGTAGTAGTACTTTGTACGTGCTAGGGGTAAGCATAGTACCGCACGGTTCAACTTTGGTGCCCAAACCGGACCAAATTATGCTAACGCGGTTCAAATCAAACCAAACCAAGATGAATTCGAATTCTGACCAAAACAAATAAAGAAGTTCTTATTTTGATTGAATTCAACAGCTCCAATCTTCTTCTGTTCACACTTGATGTGAGTTGGAGAGAAAAGAGTAACCACACATTGCATAATGTCTACATAGCTCTTTGACTTTATAAATTATAGATGGGAAGAAGCCGGGAAAAGTGTCAAAAAATTCCTAAACTTTTGTCATTGGTGTCAATTTAAACTTAAATCATTTTTTTGTGCTAATTCAGTCCTAAACTTTTGGTATTTGTACCAATTTAGTCCTAAACCTTTTGCGTTGGTACCAATTCAGTTCTAAACCTTTTATCTTTGTGCTAATTCAGTCCTTCCGGCCAATTTTGGCCGGATTTTGCTGACGTGGACACCGGCTGGTCACTGGCGCTGACGTAAATAACTTTTAATAATATTTTAATATTTATTGAATGTTTATTTATTTTTTCCCCTCCCCTCCCTCCTTCCTCCGGTCGGTTGCCAGTCCGGCGACCGACTAGAGGCCAAAGGCCGGCGAGGCTAGACCTTGCCAGATCTGGCGAGGTTGTGCCTCGCCCAGCTGCCGGTGAGGCTAGACCTCGCCAGATTTGGCTGGTCGCTGGACCGACGATCAATTGGAGGAAGGAGGGAGGGGAGGGGAGGGGAGGGGAGGGGAAAAAAAATTAAAATATTATTAAAAGCTTATCCATGTCAAGATTTGGCCAAGGCGGCCAAAAGGTCCGTTAAGTGAAAAATCCGACCAAAATTGATCGGAATGATCGAATTGGCACAAAAATAAAAGGTTTAAAACTAAATCGACACAAATGCAAAAGATTTAGGGATCGAATCTTGGCACCAAAAAAGGTTTAGGAATAAATTGGCACTACTGCAAAAGGTTTATGACTTTTTTGACACTTTTCCCGGAAGAAGCCAGTCAGTGCATCATAGGAATTAACAACCAAATATCATAGGAGAAACTACGTACTAGTAAAGTTAAATCTGTCGAGACGATATGTTATTGAAATACAGAGAGTTACTTATTCGAGCTATCGGCCATCGGCATTCCAGAAGTAACATATCTTGGTGCTCAAGGAAGGATGTAGAATTGCAAAAACCGAAAGAACCCTCCAAAAGTAAAATATCTTGGTGCTCATGGAAGGATGTAGAATTGCAAAAATCGAAAGAACCCTGAACCCTCCAAAAGTAATATATCTTGGTGCTCACGGCACGACGATAGAGTTGCAAAAACCGAAGGAAACCTCTCATCAATACCGGGAGCACGTAACGTCATTGAATAGACTACTAAAAAAGTATCATCCTATGAAGTTTTTGATCCAAAGGGAAACTAGTTTCCTAAGTCACCGTTGAAAGTTAAGCTTTGGGGGTTGGGCCTCAAGCCAGGCCTTTGACCCCCACTGTAGTGACGACTGACGGGGTCACCCGGTTTTCGCTGATGCAGATTTTGACCGAGTCGAAAAGCAGGAACTCTTTTACCAAAAAAACAGAAAGAAAAAGAAAAGCAGGAACCCGCGTTCACATGCGGCGTTCACAACACAATGGAAAAATCACAAATGGCCTCTCCTTATTTTAATTCGAGAAAATGACACAAATAATTTACGAACTTTGACCCAATATATAATGTGATCTATAAAATTTAAATTTATTCAATATGATCCATGAATTATAGCCCAATGTATAATGTGGTCTATGAACTTTTAATTGATATGCATGTTTAATTTAGTCCCTGAACTATAACATTGAACATTTTCATATAATTCGGGAACAAAATTGAATATGTATAAAAATTTCAAAAATCACATTGAATAAATTAAAAATCTAAAGATCATATTGCATAATCAACTAAAATTTATGAACGATATTATACATCGATTCAAAATTTAGGAAGCATTTATATTATTTATATTGTCGTCCCTTATAATTTTTGTCATTTACAGCAGCCATCATTCATTGGCCAGTAAATATGACACGTGATCATCGGAGACGTGTCGGCGCGGGACGCGCAGAGATTACCGATCGATTCCCCCGGTGAACGCGAAGCGGAGGGCCAAGCCCACTTTATTGTCTGACCCAAATCTTCTTACATAATTTTTTTTTTCTTTTTTGCTTATTCTCTGTTTAATTTTGTTTTTTGGGGCCTGTCATTCTCCAGAACGGAAAACGCTGATGTGGCATATTTTATTACTTTTTCTTGAGACACGTGGCGGTGACGTGGCATTCAACAAGCGCCATGTCAGCAAAAATAAAAATAAAAATTAAATTAGAAAAAAAGCAATAAAAAAGACCCCAACTAGTGGCTATGGTGGTGGCCAAGCCCTTTGCGGTGGTGTCGCTTCTGGGAATGGCTGGCGGAGGTCGCCCGGGCCTTCCCGGCCCGGCAATCCCTCGTCGGCCACAGGCGAGGCCCCACCGATCCCCGGCGATCGCATGAAGCCCCGATCTGGGGGAGGGCGCGACAGTTTTGGGTTTTTTTTTCCTTTTTTTGTTTTTTTTATAGCTTTCTCTAATTTAATTTACAATTTTTTTTTTTTCTTTTTGGGTCTGTCATTCTCTGTTTAATTTGCATCTTTAATAAGTTTTAGGGCTTAAATGTTCTTTTGTGATAAGTTTTAGGTTTTAGAACGCACTTATCCAAAATATCTGCAGCTTCTTATTTTCTTCGGTCCCGAAGATCAAGTTGAAGTCGAGTGTCATCCCGCTCGTCCCATTCCCGGAAGGTTCCCTGAACTTCACGCATTTCCTTCATCTTCTGATCCACTCGTGTAAAAGTCTCAGCACCGGAGAAGCCCATCTTCAGATTGGTCTTTGTTCAGCTCCCGACTTCACCTTTTGTCCTTAACGGTACGCAGATCCGATCTCTGTTTTTCCTTTTCT